TATAAATGTATTATATTATACGCATATAAAATGTATGCCATGATGGATAAACTTTCGGCGTTTTGAACAGTATACTCGAAATCGCGATCAAGATGTAATTCCAATTTCCAACTGACCAATTAGTTGTTATTTGTTTCAGTTCCGGTTTAAGATTAGATAGTAGACAACACGCATCCTATAATCGTCGTTAAGAGTGTTTTTCCAATGTAGGTACTCTTACTTTATAGGTATTCAGGTAGGTACACAATTAGAGATAATGAACTTTTTTCGATTGCAATAAATTGATGTTATAGCGATCATATTATATGGTATACATAGTAATTACATTACTTTTTACGGTACCTAATATACAATATTTATTTATATTACCAATTTTTTATAAAATTACAACTTTTAAAATATTATACAATATTAATTTTACTTATATTATATAATTTATAACATACCTAATAGTACGGTACTACTTTTCCCGGGGATTTTTTTTCCGCAATTCTATATTAGCACAGATTATATAATATATAATATAATATATAATCTGTGATATTAGTTTATGTTGATTCCTGATCGTCATTATCACATATTTATACATAGTCAATAGACGAGAATAGCCGACTGGTTAGCACTCTGAAAATACCTGTTTTAAATGTTTTAATAATTTCTTTCATATTCTGTTCACAACTATAAATTCTGTCCAAACAAAATAGTTCAAATTTAAATAATTCTTTTTGTACTTCCTAAGAGCAAAATTTTCAACAAATAGTGAGCAACTCAAAATGAAATGATCATATTTTTAGGAGGATTCTTTTCGTGCATTTAAGTTTTCAACTACTAAATAATATAAAAATCCATTGTTATATTTTCTTCGCCTATGACCATGTTATATTATAAAATACAAATTAATTACATTTAAAAAAAAAAATACCATAAGAATACCTACTATTGTAGATTATTTAGATCACACTATCATTGTGAACAAAGAGAAAATACTAAGATATTGTATTGCTACAATCAAGTTATGCATAATACACCTGTTATTCATGTAAAAATACAAACGATTTACAAAGGAATAAAATGTGTACTAATTGATTATAAATTTATTTTATTACTATAGTTTATGTTAGAAATAATATATTACACACATTTTATAATTAAATTGTTTATTATAATTTATTATCATATTTATGTGATTTTTCAGGTCTAAATTATTATGGTTAATAAAATGATGAATAATAATTTCTCAATATGTTATAATATTAAGCGTAAAGAATCAGGCTAAAATAATATTATTACTTGACAATACATACAATTTAAATTTATGAAAAAAATTATTATAGTTAAATTTATAATATACAATCTTCAACACAATAAAATTATTTTTGTTGTACAATAATTATAATGCATTATACAATATTAACATAATAACTACTAAACTAAGAAGAAAAATTTATAAAAATATTATATTCTTGGAAATGGGTATATTGATTGCACTAAACAGTATTATCTCTGCAACATAAATACATATAGTTAAAGTTGAAAACAATGTAATTAAAATTCTAATTTATCATAAATATTAAAAATGGTTCAAAATAAAATAATCTATAGGATTTTATTTTATATGATTTACTAGATATTTTATAATTATTTTATTATTAACATTCGCAGCATATTACAAGAAGAGTCGATGTTGAAAAAGAAAATGAAATGTTAAAGTTGAACAGTTAAAAAATAAATAGTAAAACAACAATCATGAGTTTTGCATTTAAGTTTTAGTTTTCAATTCTTTATTCATTTATGGATAAATTGTTCAATTGCAATTAYATTTACAGTAGTGATAATAGTGAAAAAAGAAAAAATTTTAACATAAATGAGCATTATCAATAATTCACATAATAAAGAATATTTTATTTTAATTTTAATTTGCTTTTTATTAGAAAATAATTATAGCAAAGTGATTACAATTTATAAAGAATAACTTTAATTATATATAAAATAATCATATCTAATACATACATATACAGACAATAAACAATGAAATACAAGTACCTAAATGCAAATTGTGGAAATATAATTTACTTATATAAATTATGATCATTAAGATTTTAGACCACAACTATGGAAATTACTATGATACGTTAAAATATTGATTGTATTATTTTACATGTAGTTTTGAATAAATATAAAATGATGATATTTACTAGACAATATTCTCATTTTAAAATTTGATAGTAATACTTTCCCTTTAACATCGAAAATAACAGAGTTAAACAGATTATTTGGAACATGCAATTTATTATGTTGTGCATTTTAGAGATGGTGATAATGCATGTGAACTTAGTGCTCTCTAAGTTGAATCAGGCGATGGCTGTTTTATCACAAGTAACATATTACATAGGCTAAGAGTAAAAAGGTTCCAAGTGGTTTTTTTATCAAAATTTACTTTTTCAAATATTCCTTATAAGTTTTCAATGGCACATGTTTTAAGCTAAAAATTAGTTTGACACGAGTTATAATGAATGACGTACACAAAGCAAAATGTTCATATGTCTTTAAACAAATATTAAAAATGCTCACCTGTAAAATAAGAAATTAAGACATAGAAACTTTTTACTCTCATCTCATATCAACAAATGTTAATGATATTGGTCAAATAATTTCAAATTTGTCAAAATGTGATAGATTGGTTCTTTTTGTAACAAACTACAGTTATATTAATAATTTAAAAATAATAAAATGTATAAATGTATAATTTACTTGTTTAACATTGAATTCAAAATGCTTTTTGACATAGCGTAGCGGGATTCATTTTCATTACTGAATTTAATCCACTGCTGTCTTACATAAGTCCATCTTTTTCTGTGCTCCTTAAGTAATTCACTAACAGTAGGGACTTCTTCAATATTCTAAAAAGTGAAACAATTTAATT